ATGTATACGTCACGCATCTAGACTCTGATTGTTAGTTTACGTGAATATTGACGTTTTGCGATATAAGGTATGCATAGTAGGAATGATGTAATATATTGACTAAGTCTATGTTTATCTTCAATTTGACAAATATATTATCAGTACTCGACTGAAAACGAAAACATACCATGTTTCATGGGATATTACATAAACACACGTCCAACAAAAAAGACCTTAAGTGAATGCAAATATTGAAGAATATTTGCATATATATAGCTTTCTACTTGGCTAGTAGATTATTATTTCCGACTACGCTGTATAACTGATATTACAATCTTTAAGATTTAGCAGACACCAAAAATTAACTATGACATAAAAATTTAATTATCCATCTCTAATGCGCAGTCTCAAATACTTATTCAATTCGTAGAATAGGAAAAACAACTCATCAGTGAATTCGTTATAAGTTTCATGATAAAATCTACAAATTTTATACACGAGAATAAAATATGTACTAAACACATTCTACGACTAATTATGTTTATCCTGTCAAAATTTGATTAATCAGAGTAATAAGAATGTAAGAATGTCTGACATATCCTGAAAGAGATTAAAAAAGATATAGGAAAAGTTCCAAAATGCACTATTTCACTCCAACCCCTGCCATTCGGCCATTTTGTATCCGATCGGGATAAAACCTTTACCATTAGAACGGGAAGGAAATTTCCTAAAAAATATGTCTTTGGTTTTTCGAAATCTGTCATACTTTCACAGAAATGTAAAAAAATTCAAGTGTTGCACTTCAATTAGACGTTACTGTATATATTTTTCATTTGTAAACACACTTATATCATTTTGCTTTGTAAGGAAATGCACGACAAAGTACCCAGGGTTCTTGGAATGTATGTTGATCATCCTCTAGTCACTCGTCTTTCTCGTCTCGCCAACGGGAGAATGCCGGCTACGTGGGTAATTGAATCCAATTTAAAATTCAACCTTCCAGCATGGGTAAGCCCCGTCGAAAAATACATCCAAGACTACGAAATTCACAGTGAGGTGCAATCGCGCAATGGCAGGCGACAGGCAGTTTAATTCTAGGCAGCCTCCAGAGACGCTTCGGGTGATTCAGCTACCAGCTCAGACACACCCGTCTATTTCTCTTTCGTTCCTACCTCGTTCCTTCTCTCTTCGAGCGTCTTCTACGTCCCTTACGTTTTGTACATCGACGCATGAAACAACCAGCCCCACGCCACTGGAAGACAGACTCGCCAACTCCCTGCTAAATTCCGCTATTTATTTCGTCAAAACAAAACGTGCAAAGAGCCGCTACGCCAGACGGAGGGATGTAACATAGCGTCGCGAGATTGCTTGAAAACCGTCCACGTCGCCGGGCTCCAACGTTCAATTTCAAAAGGTCAGCATTTCTGAAGAAACCGCCCTTGACTATATCTCGTCGCAATTTACTCGACTGGCAAAGTCCCACAAGTTTTTTCTTTTCCAGATGCACCGAAGTAATGGATCTTCTTTATATTTGGTGCGAAGCGTACACGTTTACTTGAGGTTTTAAAGGTATCTGGCGTACCTTGGAATGTCATTCAGTATGCAATTTATATTTAAGGCGAATGCAAGAACCACTTTTGCACTCTAGTTTCAATTGAAAATCAGTTCAAAGTTGTAAGATTTAAATACGGGACGTAATAAAATTTATTACTGAAACCTGTTCTCTAGTATTTTATTACTTAATGGTAGGGATGTTTAAGGCCGGGGGTTCCTTCAGTTTCTTTCAAAAATCTCTCGATATGTATATATATATATACCCTCTCATTGTCAGTTCGCGACATGGACACGGAACATGGCTTTACCTGGTTACCAGTATTTTCCTTATTTTATACTCGCAATTTAAATACGAATGACTTAATTCCTTGACGTGGGCAAGGTCGGAGCTCCCTACTCTAACTGACTTTACTTTTATTTTATGTGCCTCCGGAGTGCCACTTGGAATTTAGATCTCCCATTCAAACGGACGATTTTAACGCCTTCTCTCCGAATTACTTGCCAGGACACAATTTACCGGAATGGCTTACCGGAAGATCGTCAATCTCAAGAATCTTTCTCTATAACTCGGCTTTACTTGTTACATGAAAAATCATAAAAACAGGTAAAACATGCCTAGGAGTTACTTAGGCCATCAACTAAATTGGCTGTCTAAATAAAATAAATAAGTAAATGAATAAAATATAACTTAATTAAATTTGGCTACGTAAATTAAATAGGACCTTCGTTGATTCGGTTTTGAAGTGAATTATACAATATAAACATCGGTATTCTTAAAAAAAGTCCCTAATACATGCTGGAATTTCTCATTTAAATAAAATTGCACTGTTTTAAATTATGTTATGGTACATTGCTGCTTTTAGATATATGTATGTAGTTATAAACGGCCGACGTAGCCATGAAAGGTGACAAAATATCAAAACACCGAGCATTAAAAAAGCCCAGTACTGTAATAAACTGTGTAATTAGTTATCGAACGATGATTAAGTCATAAATTAAGCTTCTTTACCTGTGCTCATCGTAGTAAACGAGACAGTTTACCTCTTCCTATAGTACGGCCATAAAAAGAGCGTCGTTTTAATGGACAGATACGAAAAGCAAGGTGTAAAACATGATTTACTCATCGCAACATTTTCACAGCGAATTTTTTCCCTGAGCCCGTCAATTAGATCCCTGAAATAGCTTAGCACGATATCTCGAAAAACGAGTTAAAGTTAACGATAATATTCCCAGAAATATGCCTTATCAACATATAAGACTAAATTTCGCTCGAGGAAGCATGAAAATCTAACACACCAAAATTATGATAAATTACCTAACATACTCCAACTATATACTGCAACGCTGTACTTACCTGTAACCATTATCGAGTGCACAGTGTGCATAGTGCATAAAATGTGCATATTGTAACCCTATACCAAAAGGCATGCAGAGAAACTGCCACAGCAATAGGTACATAATAATATAATGTACTATGCTACGTTCATTCCGGAGGTGAGCACTTACTATAGCACTTTAAGATAATGTGAAATATCAAAGAATGGAAATAAAAATGCTTCAAAAATTTCCCCGAAATATATAACTTGAAGTACAATAAGAGAAATGTCTTTGCGAATGGCAATATATAACGTAATATCAAGATAGTAGCAATACATATAAATACTATGTGCAATTTTAAAGGTATCAAAATATACCAAGGACTAACAAACAGTTTCTGGGTAGTTTGCCGGTCCGGATGTTTAGTTGTCAGAAAACCAAGACGGAAGAAAACTTCCGCGAAAAGGAGCCAGTGGAAGGCAAAACATGTGAAGGATCTCAAAGAGATTCAAATCGCATTGAAATAAAAGCGAGCGGAATGACGTATACCGAGACATATATCATAATATTCATACATAATTCAACATTTCTATTCTTACGTAAAAATAGCGTACTGTTTACGCACATTTCTCGGGAGAACTCACACCGAGGCATAAAGCTTAGAAATTGGTTACTAAGGAATTTTAATAAATTTTTAAAATTTATCGGAATCTCAAAAAAGAGAAAAGAAAAATACTGTGATAAACAGCGAATACACACTTGCTTCTACTGAATAGTCCAATGATTAAATTTAGATGCTAATTGATACGACTCGAGTTAATTAACAATTTCTGTATGCATTTACTTGGCATATACATATATTTCCTTTGAAATTTGTTCGCAGCTTCCATTCACACAGCTCACTGTCTCAATTTCCATTGGAACTACCTACTACAGAAATTTCCATAAGACAGGGGTAACAGTTCAAGGACGAAAAGAGAAATAGAAGGCAGCATTCTCCGTGGGGTAAGTAACGGCAGTAAACCTTTGACACAGGGCCGTAACACGTTTAACCCGTGCTCCCATACTGCCCTGTCTCGTAGCAACTCACACCATAGCCATCACCATGACCATCGCAGTTACGTGAGTACCGACCCGACTCGGCCCTTGCTATCGTAGATTTATCGACAACTCTCCCCAGTAATACCCTTATAAATTCACGGAGAGTCGAAGAGCCATTTGCAGCCAACTCTTCCACCAAATATGTGAAAAGAATCGATAATGGTTTCTGTGCATTTGGAAGGAGTTAAAAAAAGTAAATAAAAGAATCAACAAAGACTCGATCATTACGGAAGTGCGAAAATGGTTGTTCCAATGAAGACCGAATATCCGACCAATAAGAAGAGCGTATCCACGTTTTATAGCTGGATGACATTTAAGTGTAGTAAATTATTGGATAAATTGATGGGAGCGTATATGCTCATCGTTTTTGGAGTATAAGTATACTGGGTGAGAAAGCAATTAAGTTTAATTGTCGTTTGAGATCTGTCTTTAAAGTTTCACCTCGGGCAGGATCGCGGTCAGCCTTTGATATGTGGATTTTTCTGGGTCTCCGAGGTTAAATTATGGTGGCGGATAATGCTCGTCACTAATTGGTTGTGTTTCATTCCTGCTGGCTTCAGAACGAGAAGCTATAATTTATTTAACGTTTTATTTATATTCGTTCACATTGTTTGCTCGGACGTGCTTATTATTACCGGCCCACGGGACTCTGCCAAGTTTAATCGTACTCAAAGTGCATAAATCACACGGAACTTGATAATAAATCAATTTTAGGGGGTCCCTGTTATGGCTTCTAAGTCCGATCAGGCCCATGGGAATGTTTGCTCTGAGATGCCTTAATTGCGAGTTGTATGCACCATAGATCGTTTGTACCGTTATGAGGTTATTACGTAAAAACGAATCACTATTGACGGCTGAATAAAAGTATCGATATCAATTATTAGTATAATAAAAATTTACGACATTAAGCACACAATGAATACACAATAGTTCCCCATTGATGTATATCCTATAAGGGCTATACCGCTGTATAAGAAGTAACAAAAATTCCTTTACCAAGCAATCCGACATGGCACTAAAGATGTAACTAAAAAGTGTTATCGTGGTACCTGATAGATTTACCCAGATCCTTTAAATCTCCTAACGAGCTTAAGAGAATTTCTAAAAACTTTCACAACTCGACCGGCAAAGGAATCACTTATCTTCATACTTTGGCAAGTACATTGTCTTCGCAGCAAGGCATTATGTAAGACTGTGTCTTGGAGTCCGGCCAGCAGGGTGCAGGCGTTACGACTGACACTCAACCCACGTTTCGTAGTAGAAAAACGTGAAAATACTCTAATCGTAAATGTCATTCTTGAAGCCTTAGTGACTACCGAAATAAAGAATAAGCGTTGCAATACTAAATAATCTTGAGGAAAGTAAAGGCAATTATATCCGAGTGACGAAGACCGTATATTATCCACACGAGGCAAATAATTGACGTAATTAAAGCCTATTGAAGAAAGTCATAAAGACAGGGCGATAACAACAACATATTGTAAAAGAATAATATATGTAACAGAACTATCATAGTAAAGTCACACAGCACGTGTACAATTGCAGTAGGTATAGACATATGAAAACGACATACATCTACTCGTCGTGCAGTTACATCTTGTGAAGGGAGGGTCCTAAACTACCGTGCAAACTGGCATTAGTTTGTGGTTTCTAATCCATTAATCCGTTCATTAATCACTTGGAATTGTGCTTTGGCCGTGAGAGCCGCCAAGGCTGCTCTACCAGTAGAGGCGGTAGTTAGTCGAATGCTGAAGTGGTCACCTCGATGCTATCGACGAACGACATTGAAATGGACCAAAGTCGTCCCATTATGATTTAATGCCCGTTCGAGTCCTAAAGGGGTTACGTAACTACCGCGTGCTACCTTTAAATGGTAAGCAATAATAGCCTTGTAAGGATTACGTTAAGGATTTCAATTTAATTGATGTCGATGTGCCAATCATAAACAATCTTGTTTATAGCAGATTTTAGGTGAACCAGAGTAGCTGTCGATAAAAGCAGGTATTTACTTTTAGATTGTTACGTACAGATGATTCTTTGCTGTACTACAATGGACAAAGCTGTGTGTGCAATTAATTTGAAATATTTAATATTTCAGGCGATCGATACGACGTGGATTATTAGCTGAATTAGAACTGGTAGGATGATTAGAAGGAACAATGAAGTTTTGGGAAAACCATTTACGTATATCAGTACTCGTAAGCTTCGAGCAAACAAGGTAAATCCACCACGTGACTAGAGGTTTAATACGCCGCTAAAGAGGGTGAACTTTTTGCGTTAAGTAGAGAGTTCAGGCAGTGGGTGGTTAAGTCTAGTAATGATTTTAATTAACGGCTAAGGATCTAATGCCAGGAAAACGAGAAGGGGATGAGTAGTTCAGGGCGTTGCACCTCTGAGGAGACTCGCAATAAGGCAATATAAGCGCCCTTTGCTCGCTGCAACTGTTAACGATAAGGGTTCCCATCGCCTTCATTTTCCACCCTTCGAATCTACTTCTGAAGCTTTTTCTAGCATACCAAGTAGTCTCCGCAACTCATGCAAGACTTAAGAGTCCAAGTCATGTAAGTCGTGCTCGGAATTTTACGAGTGGTAAGTAAAATCAAATGTTCCAATAATTTCAAAATTACAATGGCGTCAGATAATCCCATGTCACGTTTTTCAATTTTTCCGTCTTCCTCGCTTTTGATCGAACGAAATTTTTCAAAGAAATAGAACGGAAGGAAAACAATAAGGGATGCATATAACCATACGTGCTTCGCAAAAGGTCCACGAAATCTACAGAGATAATGGAGGCTGGCCGCGGGGGGGCTCTTCAAAAGTTGGTAATCCCTTCGCGTTAAGACAGGTTTTGTGGATGGAATCCAATAAGAGGTTACGAAGGGTGAGCGAAAGAGGATGAAACCTATAGTACAGTAGAGTCATCACTGTTGTGTTAAGCGAACCCAACCTCCTTCACGGTATACAGGCCGTCATCCTCTTTGCGAAGCATTCCGGCCGCCCTCCTGGAGCGGAGACTCTCTCAAGGGCACTTGACGGCGGAACTGGAGCAAGACAAACTTGGTCGAAGAGTCGGAGCAGCCTGCCGCTGTTGGAAAGTCCGGAAACCTCCAGAGGGTACTGCACACACCACCGATCCAGAAGTCTAGGAATTTAGCCGCGATGCCACTTCAACGGGGTAACGCATGGCTCAATAAGGCTAACCCAGTTCTAAGGATAGAGCTTCAGTTTTGCGAACGAAGTTCTTGCCGGTTTACGAACTTTACCGCAACAGAAATTCAGGGCGCTGCTGTCGCATCACCGAAACTGGCGCACTGGACGTTCGACGATTCTCTGACACTTACACTTAAAAAAATGTATACATATATTATGACGGGGCCTCAGACCTTCCTTAGGAGTTCTGATCGGGAATCGAACCCGATACCTTCGGACTGCCAAGTCGGGCACTTACCACTGTGCTACCGAACCCAATTGTTCGGTCATTCCCAGGTTGTCTCCTCTCCAGCTTTGTAACGTCACCTTACACGCTTCCCCCTCTTAAGAGCAAAGTGTGGGCGCGAAGCAATCCCACCGAGGGTCGTCCTCGGCCTCGGGATCCGCTTGGCCGACCCCCACCTCTACCTCGATGGTACCCTCTGGTTGTGACGATGCGGACGCCACGTCACAATATATATCAAGCTCTATTAGTAATCTCCCCTATTTCAACATTATCCAAGTACCAACTTCAAAGTTTTCGAAGGACGATTTGCTGAGGAAGGTAACTATCTTGTCTTCTCTCATCTTATCCTCATCTTGAGGCATTCAAGTGTCAGACGAATAGCAAGTTTCTTCTTAAGAGGATAGGTTTCCCTACGTAGAGCCAGACTGAAAGTGGAAACCCTGTTGAGAGGAACTTAAGTAGATCAGTTTTCAAGCTATGTATACTACATTCTGCTATCATAGCAGTTGTCACTTTTACGCAAGCGATTCGCTGATAAAATCCTTATCGAGTGTTTACCATAGTATAAGAAGTGACACGGGACTCTTTCGATATTTAGTGCGCATCAAGGGCTTCACGTTGACTTGCTTCTGATCCAGGGCGCGACACAGGACTTCGGATCGTGTGTGAATGCCAGTGCGATAAAGGATTTGTTATTGGCTGCAAGACAATGGCTCCGGTGATAGAGGATAATCAATGCTGTACAAGGGGTCTGAACTGGGGCGAGCATAGACCGTGTTGAACGGTTTGACAAGTGCTATGACATAGGCCACCTACATCGTGGCGAACGACGACTAAATTTTGGTACGTAGTGATGTTTACACAGGAGCATCAGTTTGTCAACGAGTGACAGGGTTGAATGTCCGCGATGAAAAAGCAGATGATCGCTGCAGTGTAAACGGACCAGTGCAAGAGTATGCATTCGCATCCCCGAGAAGGATACGACTGTTCGGCACTTTGAAAACGGATTGTATGGAAAGAAAGGGAAGATATGTATGAAAGAGAAGAGAGTGCGAGGAAGAGAAGGAAACCGGTGAACAATTTCGACACGTAGAAGAACGTGACAGTTTAATATTAGAGATCGCTAGAGACCTCGCGTCACTGCGTTGTCTCAAATGTGTATTTATGGGCGCGATCTCTTCGCACGGAGTGGGTATACGTCCCGCAGGCGGAAGAAATACGAGAAGAGATTAAGGGAAAAGAAAGAAGATGCTACGGAAAGGTAGAATGGAAGGGATATAAGTATTCATAGGGCGTTTTGTAATATGTCAAAAATCCGGACGTGGATTAAGTCGAGGAAGGAATGGGCGCTAATATCGTAGATTTAGAGCTGAACCGTCGTGGTAGCGCTGGGTAGAGATATTCCTAGAAAAATATTTCTGCTCTTTTATCTCGCCTTCATAGTTCATGCTGGACTCTTTCGTTTGCACCGCGTGACTTGAATCTATGAATATTGTTACCGCGTGGCGATAGGATATGCAACAGATTATTACAAATAGGAACGGCGGATAATGTTAAATCTTAGACGTTGATATAGAAACGCGAACGTGCTCTCCTTGAAATTGGAAAAACTAGTCACGACCTTAATAAGAATTCAATTCGCATTCGACAGTTTCATGTAGTTGGAAGGCTTCTCTACCATTTTCGAGGTTAAGTTTCTAACCACGCCGTTAGAGATTATTCCGAGCCACTTTGCATTTTCACCTACCATGATAAAATCCAACGTGAATTTCAGCTACACCCGGTAGCCAGTCTCGGTATATGTATAACCCGTCTACCGTGACTATACGAGGACATTGGCCGTTGTGCATCTGCAGGGGAGTTTCCCGGAGTAAAATGACTAAAAGACCTCCTGCGTGAAAAAGAACACGGGACACGAAGGGAACGACGAAAATGCGACGCGTTGTGAATATCGAATCAGGGGGAATCGGATAGCGATAAACGACGCGATTGAAAGCCCCTTGGATCGAAGCGTTGCTGAACCCCATTGCAGTATTCTCTCTGGAATGTACTTGGATATCGATAAGCCATTCGTATTTCCAGTGAACCCGACGGTAACGACCAATGATAGTGGACGACTTAACGGGAACGGCCAATAGGAGAGGCTGTTGAAGACTTTCGAGTTAGCAGGGACTAATACTCGAACAAAGGAAGCTTCTATACGGACTACCAATTTATGTTGGTATCCTTTACTGCCTGCCTTTCGGAGCCTTAAGCGGTATTACGATAGAACGGATCCAGTCAGGTAGAAAATCCTATTGGACAATGGAGTCCTTCGAAGATAAGCAAACGTTTAAAGAGATAAGAATAACTTGTGGAAGAATCGATGGAATATTATTTATTAATGTTCTAGAAAATTGGAATCTTATTCTTGCCATTACACTCGTCATTCGCCAAGTTTTTTGATACGGGATGAAGAGTATCGATTTTGAGTCGAGAATGGTACGCCGATAGAACGAGGATATTATTAATAGTCAAAGATAACAAAATTAAAGAAAGACTGCAATTTTATATTATTTCTTTATGCAGAATCTTGAAAAATCTTTGGAATTGGCTCAACCAATTCCTCTTCCTTATTCGTATCTTCCCTGTATTCAAATTCGGCCTTATACCAACCGGTGAATCTGATTCTATGATATCGTTTGATTTAGAATCCTCTTTCTATGGTCTGGGTATATGTATATCGAGATATTGGATACACACTATTTTCAATAAAAAGAACGCAATTACAATGTCTCGATAA